ACAGCAAGTTTTTAATATATCATCTATATTTCAATTAAAAAAACAGATATTTCATTTACACCCAATCATAAATAGCATAATATTTTCTCGCAGAAATATCTCAAATAATATCAAATTTTTCTCAAAAATTCATTAAAAATGCATCGTCCCAAAGCAATGTCAACGGACGAATAATCTCTCCTTTATTGTTCCTTCAATCCGTTCGACATTGACTCTCTCTGTGTCTGCCAACAAAGCGTATCTGTCTCGCGCAGTCGAATTAGAGGAGTGCCAGAGATATCATCCACGATATCACGTCTAAAAAAAAAAAAAAAATATTGATCGCGTGTAGGATGCGCGAAATTGCACGCGAAAAACGATCCTGGACGACTTTGACAAATTCGTGATCACTCAGAATTGTGGCGAGCTCGTATTTTTCAAAATGTTAAATCATCGTTATTAATAAAGCGATACCCTGAGTTGAGTTGCACGAACTTAAAATCTGCGAACGTTCCAACGACGAAGTTTCGATCGTTAATCTTCGATAGTTAACGATCCATTAACGAATCGATGAAACGTTACTTGTATAATAAATAGAGTCGGTTGATTGGTTTATTTATATCGAGGACGTGGAGTTAATTAAAATTTTTGTTCTCTTCTTGATTTTTTGGTTATCTGGTGTTTCGTAGTAATATATAAATTTTTATTCTTTCTTTAAAAGTTTTTCTTATAAAAATATGCATTTGCATGAAAATTTGATAATTGATAGTGGATCGTAGAATTTTTAGTTTAAGCAAGTTTAATAATTGCATCTGCTCAGTATTTAGACCGAGATGATATTAAATATGTATATAGTAATATAGAAGTTTAAATGTAAAGAGCATCTATATATCATCGATCCATAAATTAAAGCATCCATCGAGGTGTCACTTCCTCTTTAGTCTACTTAGTCTAAAGATCGCAATTGTCTAAGAATAACTACTTAATAACACAAAATGCACAATGTACATAGATACAATTTCATGTTAAATTTAATTTTACTTCCAAAATTTCTCACCTATCCGAAATTGAAATATTTATAATATTTTTCATTGCACAATTATTGTTTGATATTTATTATAACTTTGTTTCTCATACGTGTCTAAATAATTGAAAAATAATCAAAAGAAGCACACATTTTATCATTTTAAACATCTCACATAATTTTCCAACCAACATTGTAAAATACTTATTGCATAAGATTTTTCATTTATACTATAAATCACAAAAATAATGACACGAGTGTTACTACTAACCGAAAAATAAATAATAAATAAACCCTAAAAAAGAAAATACTCTCTCTCTCTCTCTCTCTCTCTCTCTCCACCCATTTTTCAACACGACTCTAATTACCACAACCGTACTCAAACCTCGTATTCAAAACCAGCCAACCTTCTTACATCACTCGAAACACCCCCACTCGAAATCAGCTGATCGTGCCGGAAGCAGTCGGCCGACCTCGTAAACAATAACCTGACCCAACCATCGATCAGTCAACCCACTAGCAGAAGGAAAATGGCCATCAACGATCATGAACGAAAAATCATCAAAATTAACTCTCCTTACACCCACGAAAAAAGCATCCATCCGAATCGTACATGTATAATATTCTCATCGACCTAACCTAACCCGTTCCCACTGTTATTTGCAATAAACGATTTATAAATATTTTCCAAGACAAGATCAGAGAAAGATTCGCGAGGGGTAGGGTGAAAGGAGGAGGGATGTAATACAGCGTTTGGAGCTGTTTTATTTTGGTCAGTGACTGGCTTTGCGTAACGTCTCCGCCTATTGGTCGAGGTGCATGTAGTAGACGCGTCGCGGCGCTGGGCGCCGCGCAAAGATAGTTGCTCCTAAAATGGCCCACGGTAACGCGATCCCCATCTCGATGCAAAAATGGATCCCGCGGTTATCCGACCACGTTACGTCCTTCTCTCTCTCTCTCTCTCTCTTTCTCTTTATGTGCGTGTCCTTCTCTCTTTGCCGCTGCTCCCTAGGTAGCGTTCCTCTTTGTCTGCCCCCCGCCCCCATTTTGTTTGTTCCAAGCGAGAATGGTACCGATCTCCTTTTCTCTCAGCTATCGTCTATACATCGTCCTCTTCTTGTTGTTGTTGCACGTATATGTGTGCGTACATTCTTGTTAAAAAATAAATTTTGGAATAGTTAGTTATTGGTCGAGGTTTCGTTACGAATTTGAATATTTGAAGTTTTGAAAATTGATTTTTCTTTCTTAATATTGATATTAAAGTTGAATCTTATTTTACGAAGAAATAGAATTGTGTTAGTTTAATGAATTAAAATTATTTAGGTTAATCTATGTATGATACTCTTTAAACTGAATTGAATTTGGAAAGTATTTGATGTTGAAAAATGTGAAGAAAGAAATTTTATTTCTTTGTATTAATATTTTGTTTCCAATTTGAAAAATATATTTGATCGCTGTGAAAATATAATACGTTTGCAATAGTATTTTTTAATACAAGAATGAAATTTAATATCTCAAAATTAATATATCTAATATATTTCACTGATATTATGAGATACTTTAACGAAATGTTGAAATATTGTTCAATTAAAATAAAAAAGTAAAGAAATCTCCTTTCTAAAAAAAGGCACAGATCTCAGTTGTAATTATCATTATGCTTTTTCTTATCTGAATTATATGAAATATTGAAAAATTACTCAAATCCAATTCGAATCTAATTTAGATCAGTGTAATTCAACGATTGATTATTAAAAATAGATATTTAAAAAGTAATGTTCCTTAAAAATTAAAAAATAATGTTCCAAAAACTTTTTGACCGAGAATGTATTTCGCATACGTGACCTCATAGCAGTTCTTCCTGGCAAGGTTATGAATGGCTCGTTGTCACGAGCTGAACTGAGCTGTTGATGGATTTAAGGATTTCCTTCGCTCGGTTTCGGTATGATCGATTTGCATATTCTGGGTGGCGTGAGCAATCGAGTTGCGGTTTTTTACTGGCTCACAAAGTTCAACAAAGTTCTTATTGGCATCTTAACACGAATCCTTGATGGAAGTTGACTGATTGTTGGATGACTAACATGGTGTCTTGGAATGGTATCGGGTGTAAAAAGTTTAACTTTGTACAGGAGGCTTGTCGTTCCAATATCGTTAAAAAAAAAAAAATTGAAGATTTCTCAATATTCTGAAAAATTAACTGCCACGTTGTATATTTTAATTGAAATAAATTTAAAAGGAAAAATATTAAATATAGGAGAACTCTTGAAAGATAATTGAATCTTTAACTTATCTTTAATTTCTGTTCAACTGTTCTTCGTTTTGTTTTTTCACTCGTCAATGAATAAAAATTTCTTCCAAACTGATAAATCTTGGAACAAGAACAACAATTTTTGAAAATTATTATACATTATCACATTAACCTTTTTATCATTATATATTTTATAATTCTTCTACAAATTAATTCTACAAATTACAGATATTCTTATTCTTACTTTCATTACTATTGATCACTACTTTCTTGCCATCATGTAATTACGTACAATCATGACAACACTCTCAACTTCTTAATCTCTCTTTTCACTCTTTCCTCGAAAGTTATCCCGCGAGGCTTAAATTTCTGAACGATCGCGTCACCGCCTCCAGATCGCTTCAAACCGTGATAACGCGAGAATGGCTCGAACATTATTGTCGGAAGTTTATTCTCAAAGCCTCGCCTCCCTCCACCCTCTGTCAATTAATTTCCTGTAGCTGGCGCCCGTTAATCGTCGAGTATATTGGCCGCGCAATCTCGATCGAGAGGGTCCTTTGGCCTCTCGTCGAACGAACGACGGAAAGAAAACACGGTCTGAAGAAGAAGCTTCGATCCTTTATTTTTCCATGGGCGGTGAGGCGGCGCAGATGTTGGCGATTGGATGATTCAGTTCTCGGCGAGAGTTTTGGTAGAAGACGAAATTACTTAATCCAGGAATCCGTGCGTGTAATAAAGATCGGTTATATCGGAATTCTTGCGTTGTAAACAAGAATTTAACGATTGATGAAACATGATTTGATGGATGTAAGCTTCTTTTTTAGGGGGAGGAGAGCGAAAAGGAGTGTTATATGGAATAATAATTTTATTATAATTTTATTTCTTTGAAGAAGAATATATATATTTTTATTGTATTCTACAGTTTCTACATGAAAGAAAAGTGTTTCATTCTTTCCTTCTGTAGATTACTCAATTTTATACAATCTTTTGATTCAAAAACTTATTGGATCTGATTTTTCCGAAATTTAAAGATTGATGAAATAGATAAAAAAATTCCTACGATATTAAATATAAAAAATACTATTAATAATGCAAAAAATTTTTTAAAAAAAAGTATTCCAAATTAACGTACAAAATGATTCACTTGGATAGAATTAATCGTGCAATATAATGGCAAAAATATTAATTTAAATACAGAAATATATGGATCACAAGTATTTGCTTAATTAACAAATAGACTTAATTGCGTCGGATGAGTCTAATAAAAAAGTTGCACGTCGACATGGGGCGTGACGACGACAGAAGAAAACGGCGTCAACGGTTCGTTTCCTCGATTCGTTCTGGCCCAGTTAGGGAGAACGAGAGGAAATGCATTAGTAGGAAGCATCCCACAAACGAGCAGGAAATAAAAACGACGAGTTTCGAATGAATCGAATCTCGTAGCGTATTTTTATTTTCCTCGAATCATCGAAGACTATAAGGAAATTGTTTTATTATTACGCGAAAGAGAAATGAAAATTGGATATATATTAAATGAACGACGAGCTTTGAAATGATCGAACGAGAAAGTTTCGTGATGCGTTTAAGAGCGAAATTTTTTTTTTCATCACTATGCACGAAAAGGAAATAAAAATTAGAAATATTAAATCGATGATCGTGCGATGAAAGTCCGACTTTCATTAGCTTTATTTTTATTCAATGAATTCAGATGTGCGAAAGGGATTAATGACTCGTTTGTTTTCTTATTTGCAGTTCAAGGGGAGATTGTGATGCAGACGACGCCCACCGTACCAACGTGAGTACTTTAACGATTTCTTATCCCGTATATATTTCTTGCCTTTCTTCTAAATAGATTGCAGAACAGAAGAAGTAATTCAAACTGTATTTTCTAGAATTTCAAACAATAATTTGATACATTAATTTACGTGAGAATTATTATCTAATCGAAAAAAATTCAATGGAAAGAATCTCGAAAAATTTAATTTAATTTAACTTTCTTATCTTATCTTGCTGAAAGCATATAATAAATTCTGAAAAATTAAATTTTAATGTACCACTTATATCGAATCAAAGATTTCGAAAAAAAAAAATTAATCAATCAAAAGAAATTAAAATTTCTAGAATATTAATACAAACTCTCTTCTCGTAGAGATTTAATAATTCGTAGAAAATTAAATTAAATTTAAATTCATTTTCTGGACACAGATTTACCGGCAGACCCGGCGATCCATCGCCGCCGGTCTTCGAACAGATATTCAAAAACGCCAGATTCGCGCAGGGTGGAAACGCAATTTTCGAAGGTCGCGTGAGAGGAAATCCAAAACCTATCGTCTCTTGGACGCACAAGGGTGCACCGTTGTTGGAGTCGTGGAAGATTCACATGTCTTACGACGAGAAGACCGGGGCCGTCACGCTTCAAATCAACCAGATTGGCCCTGGAGACGAGGGTGAATACACGTGCAGTGCCAAGAATCAATACGGTAAACTATTTCTCAAAACATTCTTTAGGACATTGTTTAATTTCTATTTAACGTGGATTAGTGGATTAATTATCCGTTAATTAGAGGCACTTAATTAATTAATCTTGAAATGTTATCTTTGATACGTTATAGATTTGCAAGAATATGAAATTTTGCAAGTGTAAAAATTCCATTCTACTCTTGAAATCTAGAAATTGAATGTAGTATGCTTTGCTTCCTAATTGCAATAGAGAAGATCCTTTTCTTATGATGATTCGTCGTATCTGTATGTAAAATACTCACAAAAATCAAATTTAAAATTTTTATTGGAAATTTTCAATAGAAAAAAACAAAAGAATATAAAAATTGAAGCTTATTGATTATTATTGTTTTATAACCAGATATTTCCTGTTCTTTTCACTTTCTGATTTTGTTTTCACTCTTCGCTTATTGAATGAAAATTCATAGAATATTTTAAGAATTTGTCACTTCACTATATCGTAAAATTAAAAAAGAAAAAAAAAGGAAAAGAACACAATGATTTCTGTTCACCAGGCGAAGCAATCTGCTCCGTTTACATTCAACCAGAAGGATTTGGACCTCCTCCGCAGCAGCAAATGGGTGGTTACAGGAAGGAATTCGCGCAGACTTTCCAGTCCAGTGAACAGAAGACTCAAACGGGAACACAGAGCTTTCAACAACGTAGCTATCAACAAACAATCGATAAACGAAGCTACGTTAATGGAAGTTCCGTCAGCATCGAAGATTTCAAGGTTTCCTGTTCATTTAAACAGAAAATAAATATAATTCCGATCAAATCAATTGTAAACAGAATATCTGGATCTATTTTTTACATGTTACTTTCTTATACGATTTCTTTTAATACGAACGTTTTTGTTCATATTCAGTTACACAATAATTTTTAACACGTTTTATCTATTTTTTCTTTTTTACAATTTTAAGAAAATTTTTCTCCCTCAATTTTCTCGAATTTTTAAATTTTTTTATTTCAACATTATTTTTACATACTTTCCTCCAACATACAAGTTTCATTTTTCCAAATTAACTGAGATTACAAGATTTTTTATTATGCATCAACTGTCCGTAAAAGGAGACCCAGAGATGTATTTAAAAATGACGCATATTACGATATTTCTTTTTGAAAAATGTTGTTTTTTGGAACAAGGATTAATAGCATGATTAATTTGCAGGTGGACACGTTCGAATACAGATTATTGCGGGAAACAGAGTTTCGAGAGTCGATCACTCGCCGCTTCGTGGGCGAATCCGACGTGCAGATTTCGACGGTGGTAGATCGTAACCTGGGACCGGTTGCACCTCCGCAAATCACGCAGAAGCCCAGAAACTCGAAGCTCGTCGAGGGATCCGACGCCGTTTTCACTGCGAAAATCTCTGGCAATCCTAAACCGAGAGTAAGCAAACCGATCTTTTGATTTGTATATTTTTCTTTTTTTTCTGTAACGTTCCAAACTTTCTTCGTATATTTTTCTCTTTTTTTCTTTCGACGTGAAAAAAATTGATATATTTTTCTAGAAAAAATTGGTAACAAGCTAAAATTAAAATTATCTACGAACAATTGATGAAAATGGTAAAGAATTTATAAAATATTTCAAGAAGAGAAATCGAAAGTTTTTAATTAAATTTCTAATCGAGATATGTGCTTTTCCATGTTTTCCATCTCGATTTATTAATTTTATTGCGAAAGATCGTTTGTCAAATGTTTAAAAAAAAGGACAAGAAGAATAAATCGTATTTTTCGACGAGCATTTTTAATTCGATTGTAGCCAACAAAATAGAATTTTAAAGTAGAAAAACAAATTCAATTCTCTCCTCTATTTTTCTATTCCAGTTAACTTGGTTCAAAAACGGGCAGAGGATCCGCGAATCGCAACGCGTGGAGATGAGCTACTCGAATCAACAAGCCTCTTTGAGGATCAGAGTCGCCCTGCCGGAAGACAGCGGCCATTACACCTTGCTCTCGGAAAATCCTCAAGGGTGCACCGTCAGCTCTGCATATTTGGCGATCGAATCAAGCGATCAGGTGGATCAAGCGTACCAGGTCCAAAGGGAGACGGTGAAAACTCAGCAAGTTGAAACGATCGGCGAAACCGATTCTGGAAAAGTTCTGCCGCCGAATTTCGTTCGCACCTGTACCGACCGCGACGCCACCGAAGGAAAAATGACCAGGTAAAGGATCGATCAATTAATTTCTTGTAATACAATTGGCCAAAATTTAATCACTTTTTATAGAATAATAAATTTTACTATATCTCGTGTCTTTATCTCTTCGAATAATTAGCGACTAACAAGTTTTGTACGTGAAATGATGAGATTTTAAATGACAAAGACGTATTAGAAAATTAAAAGTGTTTTTTCTTTTTTTAAATTAGTGTGCCATGAATATTAAATTTTCATCAGAATTTATCAAGATTGGCAATAATAAATAATTGACTTTTTGGTATTTTCTGACGAAATCTCAATTTCTTGCACTTCTTCAAAGATTCCTACCAGAATAATAATCAATTGTAAATTACAAATAAATTCATTCTTTGTAACATTTCAACATTTTTCCTCTTCCATTTTTTCCCTCCTAAAGGATGGACAAAGGAAACGATTATGTAAACGTGATTTTCAGGTTTGATTGTCGCGTAACGGGCCGCCGTACCCCGAGGTGACATGGTACATAAACGGCCAACAAGTGGCCAACGATCTGACCCACAAGATCCTCGTGAACGAGTCTGGTAACAACTCTTTGATGATCACGAACGTGAGCCGAGCGGACGCCGGCGTGGTGACCTGCGTCGCAAGGAACAAGGCTGGCGAAACCTCGTTTCAGTGCAATTTGAACGTGATCGAGAAGGAGCAAGTGGTCGCGCCAAAATTCGTAGAACGATTCACGACTACGAACGTGAAAGAAGGAGAACCGGTTGTTTTCATGGCCCGTGCGGTTGGCACTCCTGTACCTCGCATCACCTGGCAAAAGGTCTGACAAACATTTTATGAAATAAATTAAATTAATATACATATATATACACGCTTTGATTAATAGAGAATGAAATTTATTAGCACGTGAATTATTAGTTGGACGATTTATATTCTCTTAATATATTTATATTTCAACTTGAGCTAATTAAAATTGAATTTTGATAAATTTTCTTTTCTTTATTTTATGTAAAATTAAACTCTTTCGGTTTAATAAATATCTTAAGAATTTCGAGAGAAGGAAATTCTTATATTTTAAATAAAATCTTCGATTAAATAATGGAACTTAAATTTTCTATACTTAGTTCGATTTTACGTAGGAAATAAATTTTGGTTACGGGATGTATAAAATATAAATTGAAATTCGTTGGTACAGGATGGAGTGCCGATAACACCTGGATCGGATGTGCGTATATCGACGGATGGTAGCGGAGCTTCGACTTTGGACATACCCTACGCAAAATTATCGGATGCAGCTTGGTACCAGTGCACGGCGCAGAATGTGGCCGGCTCTACTGCCACCAGAGCACGGCTTTTCGTGGAAACACCGAAAGGAGCAGCCCCCGAACCAAGACGCCTGAACTTACCCCGACCGACGAAAGTCATCGAACCAGAGTGAGTTTTTACGATATGATTTCTTTCGATACCAAAGTTAAAAATTACAATCCTAATAAGAATACTTTACATTTTACGCGAGTCGAAGGAACAAAGATGGTAGGAATTGATTATTTATTATTCTATTTTTAATTAATAGTAATAAAAATTGTATAATGAATAGTAGTATTAGAATATATCATTCGACAAAGTTTCAGTAATTGGGATTTGGTATTAATTGGATAATATTGAACGAAAGAAACGATTAAACTTACATTTTATTTATGAGGAAACGAGATGAAGGTGAGGTTGATTGCAGACCAGCGCCTGGCCCCGAAGTGATTTATTTGAGACACGTGGAACGCGCCAAGCCATACTTGCCCCCACCCGAGGAGGACAGAGTTTATCCACCGCCACGTTTCATCATACCATTGAAGGACGTCCATCAGATCGAGGGTGGACGAATCCACTTCGAGGCCAGAATCGAACCGGTGGGTGATCCCACTATGAGGGTAGAGTGGTACGTCAATGGAAGAGCTCTTGACGCGAGTGAGTAACTTAAATCGGTTATTTTAATAATATTGGAACAATTGATCAATATCATATCCTTGAATTAAATATAATATATTAGTTTTAATTCTTTTAATTGAACTTGTTAAAATCCAATTGAAAATTAAAATGAAAAAAACTTTCAGGCTCCCGGGCGACTTCTATCTTTCGATTTGGCTTCATCTCTCTCGATTTAATTAGCATCGTTCTCCAAGACAGCGGTGAATATTTATGCCGCGTCGTAAGTTCGACTGGAGTCGCTGAATCTCGAGCTACCCTCAGCGTGACGCGTGAGTTGTATTTAGTTTAGCTATTTTCTACCTATCTCTATATATTAAGAAAATTAAATCCAATAAAATTCACAGCAAAAAATTATTTAAATATACGTACATACATTGCCAAAAAAATTGCAAAACAAGTCCAAATTCTATTGCGTAATTACCAATACTGCAAAATGGAATTTTAAGAGAAATCTGTTATTAATTTTCTTCGATTCAAAATTATTCGAAATATCCATCGTTTGAAATATATTTTTCTACGAAGTTTTCTATTTTTCTTTGAAGAAAATTTATTGAAAAGAATGTTCGACTCGAGGGATAATCTGTTATTCCAGCACGCGCAACAATCGAACAGACTAGCCAACACCCCGACAGTCTCCAGTACATCCAACAGCTCGAGGATTACAGCAAGTATCAAAGGCAGGAGAGTGTGGAGGACATCTCTCCACAGCGGCCGGTCTTCATCCGGCCACTCCAGGATCTAGGAGAGCTGCAGGAAGGTCGTAACGCTCATTTCGAAGCGCAACTGACCCCTGTAAGCGATCCCACGATGAAAGTGGAGTGGTTTAAGGATGGTAGACCAATCACAGCTAGTAAGTAACTTTCCAATTTCTTATTTATCGAATTTCATTTATTCAACTATTTTAATTTTCAGGTTTAACGTTTTAACGTTTTAATTGTTGCAACGTTTGATAAAATAATATACGATTACTCGCAGGCTCAAGAATCACAACCATCTTCAACTTCGGATACGTCTCGCTCAATATATTGCACCTACGAGCTGAAGATGCGGGTTCTTACACTGTCAGAGCTGTGAACCGCTTGGGAGAGGCTGTCAGCTCCGCATCTCTTCGTGTCTTTGGTAAAAATTATTTTTATTTGCAAACGTGTTCGATTGTTTTTCACTGCGCAATAATTTTCCCATTTTAGAATATTAATTTGTGAAATAAGATAATCAATATTTATCTTAAACTGTTCTCCTCTTTATAATCGGTAATAGAATTGGAAAGGAGATAATTCTATGTGGCAAAAGATGATAGAAAATTTTCAATTTATTACATAAATCGAGTAATGCAATTTATTGACCAATGTTGCATTTCAATTAATTTTAATTTTAATTATCGCAGCACGCACAAGCGTTACAACAGATCTGGGAATCCCCGAGCAACAGAGGTACATCGAGGCTGCCGAGGAGTTGGAAGCCTATCAACAGGCGATGCACCAGAAATACGTGCAGGAACAGCCTGAACCGACAAGCCCACCGGAATTCAAATCTCCTATCAAGGATCAGAACAGCATACGAGAAGGAGGATTCGCTCATTTCGAAGCACGTCTGGAACCAGTTGGCGATTCCGACTTGAGGGTCGAATGGCTCAAGGACGGACGCCCTGTAGAAGCAAGTAAGTCCTTTCTCACGCTTGAAAATAAAAGAAATATAATATTTCGAATCAAATTTTGATCAATCGAGTCGTGATAGAGCGGAATTCTGTGAAATCAATTCTAGAAAGCTTTGATTCGAAGCTTAAAAATCTTTCGAAACCATCGATTACTTTCCACTTGTTGAAGATATTAACGAGACTTTCAACACACGTTCCACAGGTTCACGGATCACGACGTTCTTCAACTTCGGTTACGTGGCACTCACCATCAAATACGTAACGATTCACGACGTCGGTATTTACACGTGTCGCGCTTACAACCGCGTCGGTGAAGCTCACACAACCGCTCAGCTGAGCGTGATAAGCAAGAACGACGTTATTTACGACAGTCAACACCCGACCGGACTGCAGAAGATCCAAACGTTGGAAGATTCGAGCAGATACTCGAGGCAGCTCCAGGAGGAGACCCAGGTGACACAGGCCCCGCGATTCTTGGGCACCTTGAAGGGCACGAACAAGATCGTCGAAGGCCAACGCGCCCACTTCGAGGCGCGCGTCGAACCCCAGAGCGACTTGACCATGGCCATCGAATGGTACCACAACGGAAAACCGATCACCGCGGCTAACAGAATTCAAACTTATCACGATTTTGGATACGTGGCTATAGACATCCTTCAAGTGAGACCAGAGGACGCTGGCACTTACACCGTCGTCGCTAGAAACGCTCTTGGGGAGGCTCGATTATCCGCCACCATGGTTGTAGAAAGTGAGTCACCTTTTTAAATCGAGAGATTTGCTCGTATCATATTTAAATTTTGCTGGAACCGCAGATACTTTAATCCGATTCGTATTTCTGTAAATTCGTTTTAGATCAAGCTAGATCTAGAGTCGATTAAAATTGATAAAAGTCTTCCTTTCAATCGGAATAATCGACTAGCACAATTTACAAAATTTCGTATTGAATAAATCGCACTAAATATCTTTTATTTGTCAACAACAGAGGAAAAATATCGAATTGTAATTTCAGCTCGTTCAAGCGTGGATACGAGCAGCATGCACCGCACTTCCTACGAGAAAACGCAGCGTTTGGAGGAGTCGAAATTCGTCGAGCCCCAATACCACATCGAGGAGATATCGAAATCGAAACCGATCTTCGTGCAACCGTTGAGCGATCCTAAGCCGGTGAGCGAGGGAAAGAACATCCACTTGGAGTGCCGTTTGGAACCGATGGGCGACCCAACGATGAGAGTCGAATGGTTCCAAAATGGCCGCCCAGTCACCGTTGGATCCAGATTCAGGACTTACTACGACTTTGGTTTCGTCGCTTTGGACATCGTGCACTCGACCGTGCTCGACTCTGGGGAATACACCGTCAGAGCCACCAATCATCTTGGCACCGCTCACACTTCCGCCTGCGTCAGAGTGATAGGAAAGTCAGACGTCGTCACGGAAACGCAGCACGAGCAGTCCCTCGAGCAGATTCAAATGCTCGAGGATTCGTCAAGGTTGGTGATGTTTGAACCTCGAATATCCAGGAATTGGGATCGTTAGATATTCGTCAAAATGACAGAGGATCGAATTTTTATTGTTGGAGTGGAGGAGATTATTTCTTTGACACATTCGAACTAGTATTTCTTTGAATAATATAAATCGTATCTAACGTAATGTGTGTGCAATATGCAAGAAGAAGAAAGAAATGGTTAATCATTTTCGATAGTAAGTAATTGATAAATAAATATTTATTCTTGCTTTGCAATTATTATTACATATACTATACATAAATGTTTCTAATTTTTATCGCGATAAAAATATACTATACCCTTATATTTATTTTCATCGTACTATTTTAATTACAATCGTTAGTGTTATATTTATAATTCTGGTACAAAAATAAGATACTCCTTATATACATCATACATTCCAATTGATCTCTTTCCATTAGACAAATAAACTTTCTCGATTACGATATAATAAAAACAATAAAATATACGAAATGCACATTCTCAACGAACAGATACCGCAAGACCCAGCAAGAAGAAGTGACGGTGATGCAAGCGCCCCAATTCACTCGCCCCTTGCACAACATCGAAACGGTGGAGCTGACCAACGTGCATCTCGAGTGTCGTCTCCAACCTGTCGGCGACTCAACAATGAGAGTGGAATGGTTCGTGAATGGCAGGCCGGTGAAGACCGGCCACAGATTCAGACCGTCCTACGAATTCGACTACGTCGCCCTCGACATCCTGGGCGTCTACCCCGAAGATTCAGGCGTGTACACCTGCCAAGCGAGGAACCAATTGGGCGAGGCAGTCACGTCCTGCTCAGTGAGGGTACACGCGAAGAAAGATCTGTTGCTGGAGTCCCAACATCCCGAAGGTTTGGAGAGAATACAGTACTTGGAGGATGCTTCGAGATACAAGAGGCAAGAGATGGTCGACGAGGTTGTCACCGTTAAACCGAGATTCATCACGGCTCCGAAAAGTCAAGAGAATCTCCGCGAGGGGGAACACGCTCACTTCGAGTGCAAATTGGAACCAGTGACGGACTCGAATTTGAAAGTTGAATGGTTCAAAAATGGTCGTCCGGTTACGATAGGTATGCGCCGATTTTAAAGTGTTATTTATTAGAATGAATTAATATGATTTTCTAAATTTAACACGCAAAAGATAATTTCTATAAAATTAAATTTTCGCGAAGGTTTCAATGAGAGTTAAGATTGATTATAATATATTTCCTTTAGTCTCACGTTATAAACATTCTTCAAATATTCTCAAATCTGATTTTCTTGATGTAAAATTATTTTTATATATCACAATGTAAATTATTGAACAAAATTTTAATAATTTAGATTAAAATTCGATATTCTACAATCTTCTTACAATTCTTCTTATTCAAACAAATTTGCAATATAATTATTATCAAGATTATAATATTTAAAAACAAAATATTTCTAATCCATACTTTCGAATTCATCTATTGATATTATTCTTCATGATACTTGATCATATTATTGATCATTACGTTTTATCAATAGTTTGCTATTATTTCAAGATTTATTCGTTGATCTCCATTAATTACTGTCTCTTATTAAATAATTCAATTTACTTATAATATTTATTGGAATAAATTTGAGAAATTCATATTATTGAAACTAAATTTCATCAATAAACTTCATTACAGGACACCGATTCCGTCCAATACACGATTTTGGCTACGTTGCCCTGGACGTGATTGACCTGATCGCCGAGGACTCCGGCACCTACACCTGTCGCGCTGTCAATCTGGTTGGCAGCGACGAAGTATCCTGCACTCTAACATGCCGATCAACTGCGCAGGTTCTAACCGATTCGAAGAACGAGATTGGCCTCGAGCAAATTCATTATCTCGAGGACAGATCCAGATATCAACGACGAGAGGATGTCGAGGAGACGACCACCCAAGCTCCCATCTTCACCACTTCTTTGAACAACGTCGAGATCAAGGAAGGGCAGAGAGCGCATTTCGAGTGCAGGTTGATTCCAGTTTCCGATGCAACGATGAAAGTCGAATGGTTCCACAACAATAAACCGGTGAAGGCCGGCTCCAGATTCGTCGAGACAAATAGCTTCGGCTTCGTGGCGTTGGACATCATGTACGCATATCCTGAAGATTCCGGCACGTACACCTGCAGAGCAAAGAATATTATAGGAGAGGCTATCACCTCGGCAACCGCAGTTGTGCACTGTGAGTTCTTTTTTATTATCTAGTTATTTTTAAATGTGACTTTTAAATATTTCAAGTTAGCAAGTTTATTATTACAGTTTTCTTTTTGAATTTTATTTAAAAATGCAATACAGTAAGTATAAATTGTACAATTGATTTACAATTTGATTTGGTTGGATAATTTTTTTAAAAAGTTTTACTATCTCGCTCATCAAACATATTCAAACTCTGAATTTTAGTCAATAAAAAAAAAAAAAAAGAATCAATATCTCTGTCGAAAGATTCGAAATCGAAACTTTACAGTAAATAATAATTGCTGTATTGAAATAAGAATAGCTTAAAAAATTGGCACATTCATAATTTTTATGCAATTAAAACGTGTTCAAATCGTCTGTAAATTTGACATCAAACATTATAGATTACTTTTTATTAGAATTTATAGTATAGATAATGAAAATTCAATTAAATTTTATGTAGTCTTAAATTGTTAAAACGAAATTATGTGTATATTATTCAAATTGAAATTAATTGCAAGAAATATAGGATTCGATAATAGGATTATTTTTAATCGCGTTAGTGTCCAATTATTACATGCCCAATCTTTTTTAAATAGCGAAAAAATCGATCTACACCGAGTCCCAAAACGAGGAGACTCTTCAAAGACTGCATTATTTGGAGGATACCTCGCGATATCAACGAAAAACCACAACTGAGGAGATCGTTACTCAAGCCCCAGTATTCACGATGCCCATCAAGGATTTGAAAGTCGCTGAAAACCAAGCAGCTCATTTCGAAGCTCGTGTAATCCCTGTCGGTGATTCCAAGCTGAAAGTAGAATGGCTTCGAAATGGAGTTCCGATTGCAGCTTGTAAGTGATATAATAATAAACGTTATTAAAAAATTTATGTAACTTTTTCGAATATTTTTAATTTTGCAATTAAAAATAAATTATTCGGAACTCAAGAGATAATGTCAGTTAATAATTTGAACGAGTAGTATGTCATTGCAAAGCTAAAATTGCCAAATTTAGAAAATCTTTAAGAAAATCTTTTCTAATAAATATTATCTTAATAGCTAATCGTGTAACAACGATGCACGATTTCGGATACGTCGCTCTGAACATGAAGTATGTCAATCCTGAAGACTCAGGTACCTATACTTGCCGTGCAGTGAACGATCTTGGAGAGGCAGTGACATCGGCAACGCTTTTCGTTCAATGTGAGTCGAAAAAAATCCATTCAAAGTACAGAATCATTTTGAAAATGAGGCTTCAATCTCTAATAATCTCGCTTCTCTCGTGAGCCAGCTTTCGAAACGCGTAGAAGCAACGTAGCTTACGTAGATCACTTTTTTTTTGTATTTTTGTGTGCAGCGATTTTTTCGCTTTTTTTTTTTGGTGTTAGATTTTTTTCTTTTTTTAACGTTTCGATGGATTTTCGTACGACGAAACTCGCGAAGAAATGCAGAAGAAGATTTTTTACTCTTGGCCGCAACAGACTTTTTTCAACTATTTTTTTCACGTACATCAACATGTGCCGATCACACATCGCAATTGTAAAACTTTTTCAATATATCATATCGTTCATATACATAATACTATGTTTTAAAATGATTTAACATTTTTCGAATGTTCATTGATTGATATTTGCAGTAAAACTAAATTACATATGATAAATCGTAATTAATCCTTTCGCTATGGTAAACTCACCGGATTTATAATTTACGCTATAACACTTGTTATCTCAGAATTATTCTTTATTTCTTCTAGAAATATCCTCGTAAGAGTGTGATTACACAATTGATTTTTCTACAAGAATATTACACATTATTGTCAATGAATAATCTCAATATCAATTTCTAACAAGACAATTCGAAATATATAAATCGACAAAAAAACTTAAACGCATAAGAGTTACAAAAAAAAGAGTATAAGTAGAAAAAGAAACACAGGCAAATACATCGTTATTATCTCAAACAACCTCAAACAAACTCAAATAGCGAAAGAATTAATCTAACCACTCTAAAACCAAGGGCCAAAAATATCATCCATCCCTAACAAAATCCAATTTCCACGATCTTTTCACGAGAGAGACACGCACTAAAAAATAATCCCCATATATCTCATGCCACGACACGTGTACAACGACACACTGACAAAACCTATTCCGAAACACAGCCAAGGCGGCCCTGCAATTCGAGTCGCAGCACGAGAGCGCTTTGTCGAAGATCCAAGCGCTGGAGGACACGAGTAAATACCAGCGGCGCGAGGAGGAGGAGATCGTGGTGAAGGAGAGGCCGTCGTTCACGGTCCAACTGAACGGGCCCACAACCCTCGTCGAGGGCCAAAGCGCACACTATGAGTGCCGCATCGAGCCCTACCCCGACCCAACCATGAAGGTGGAGTGGTTCCATAACGGGAAACCATTGTCCACCGGTCACAGGTACAGAACCACTTGTGACTTTGGGTTCGCCGCGTTGGACGTGCTCACGGTGTACGCGGAGGACTCTGGCACCTACACCTGCCAGGCCACCAATAGACTGGGATCGGCGAAGAGCTCGATCAATCTCGACGTGAAATGTAAGTAAGCCGAATTGTGGAATTGTGGAAACGAGGATTTCTCGCCTCGAGGATTTTCGTAAGTGTAAGAGAGGGGAGTGGAAGTATCGTTCCTTTGTGAGTTTATAGATTATGTTAAATATTATTTATTCCAATCTCGCTTGGAATATTTTCTTTCGTATGTTATTATTATCTAAGCTGTCGTTGTATCGTAAATATTCGTGATGCGGAAAATATAAAATCCAATTTGAAATCGATCATAATTCCACGAACTTCCAAGAAAGAAATCACGCACGGGGACAGCAGGTGGATGTAACCAGGCACTTTGTGTTACCTAGACACCCTGTTTTTGTAATGCTTATTAGTTAACCGTGGCTTCGAAACGTAGTTCTGCTTTTTTTGTAAATTGTATACACACACGATGTATAATCACCTCCCCCCCCTTCTTTTTTGAGTGTTTCATCATGTTTTTTCCCCATTGTTTCTTTTTTCTTTATATTCGTTCACGTGTACTTCTTGTACTCTTCCGTACTTACACGTACGATTGATCAAGAAACGAATAATCTTCTTTCGATGATTATTCTCGACCCTTCTGTCCTCCAAGCGCAATATTTACTTAATAAAGAAAGAAAAAAAGAAGATAGGAATTTAGGATTATTGAATAAAAACGCTAAATTACAGCTCGCTCCTCGATTATTCGCGAAACGCAACACGAAAGCGCCCTGAAGAAGATACAATATCTTGAAGACGATTCGCGTTACAAACGGGTAGAGGAAGAGGATCTGATCGTCGCCGAGAGACCGAAATTCGGTCGGCCATTGAAGAACATCGAACATTTGCCCGAGGGGAAGAGCGCTCACCTCGAGGCGACGTTGACTCCTGTCAATGATCCAACTATGGTTGTGGAATGGTTCAGGGATGGAAGACCTATTCCTCAAGGACACAAGTTCAAGACTACCTATGACTTTGGATACGTCGCCCTCGATATTCTTTACGCTTATCCGGAAGACTCTGGAACTTACATGTGCAAGGCAAGGAACGCTGTTGGAGAGGCTGTTACCACTTGCGTCATCAGCGTCGACTGTGAGTGTTTAAATAAATTTTTATGTGAAATTAAATATAACCCTTAAGTAAATTCGAAAGAAATTAAAAAAATATCGTATGAGGAATTTGATAAAAAAAATTGGAGAATGATAAAATCTAGAGATTTTAAGAAGAGTGATGATGGTAGCGAAATATTTTTATAGTTCTTTTTTTGTATTGTCGTAATTTTAAAAAGAAATTATAAATATTTGACAATCTCATATATGTCGTGCGTTATAACCTTTCGATTCGTATCCAAATTTATAAGTCGTCGAGTAATTGTTTTATATATTAAATGTATTTTGTGAGAAGTGGCAGAGCTAAAAATTATCTGCTCTTTTAAACAGCGAAACAAGGCCTATATTTGGACACGTTAGACGCTCAGCGTTTGCAGAAGATTCGCGAGTTGGAGACCGTGGAGGTGAAGCAAGAAGTTGAGAAAGAGGTTGTGCACCAAAAGCCCGTATTCTTGACACCCTTGAACAACCTGGATCATCTAAAGGAGGGTGAACACGCACACTTGGAATGCCGCGTCGAGCCTATCAACGATCCAAATCTAAAAATAGAATGGTATCTTGATTCGTATTACGAATTAATTATAAATTATTCGTTCGTGTGAAAATATTAGATTTAATAAAGTTGAACCGATTTTAATCAAAGGTTCGTGAATGGAGTTGCTGTAAAGACAGGACACCGCTTCCGCAAAACGCACGATTTTGGTTATGTGGCTCTCGATATTCTTTACACTTATCCTGAAGATGCCGGCACTTACATGTGCAAGGCCACGAATTTGGCTGGCGAGGCTGTCAACACATGCACCATCAAAATTGGCTGTAAGCAATTTCTTGCAATTCATAATCATTGGAATGGTACAGAATATTTAATATCGAACAAAAATTAAAAAAAAAAAAAAATTCGTAAATTTTAAAGATTAGAAAATTGTATCTTCGCTTTCCCAGCAAAAAAAGAACGATTCCTCCCCCCTCGTTTCCTACCCTTGAAATCTCCCGAAAGAGCTTGCAATGTTAAGCGTTACGAGAGTAGAAAGATATATCCACCGCCATACTTTCGAAGAGGAGACGCATTTAAACCTAGATTTGGCCCATTTTCTTTAACCACGTTTAAATGTGACGAGCAATTCATGGATTCCGGTAAAGTGCATAAAGATCGTTTATGCGACAAGAATCAATACGAGCATGCTAGATGCTCATATAAATCATATCCCGGCGATGAAATTTATTTCGGAAGGGGAAGAAAATCTGAATTAAATTTTCGAGATAATAGAGATTGTAGGAAAGACGAATTATGTAATACGTGTAAGCAACCGAAATTTCGTCATATTAGTCGACGTGTCACGTTTGAAGGATTGGAAGACAGATCACGAAGCGACTATAGAAGTAAATGTAGAAAATATGATAGAAGCGGTCGATATTTGTCGTGCTTATGATAAGAGAAGAATATAATTGATAAATTGAAATAGTAATTTATATACTTACGTTTCTTATTATTATTGGTGAGATTATTTTTAATAATAATTTTTTTTCCCCTAGCTCGCCGCAGCATACTTCTAGATACGCAACATCCAGATGGCCTTGAAAAGATTCGCGAACTCGAGGCCCAAGGTCGTCCAGCCCGCTTAGAGGTCGAAGAACCTCCAGTGACGCCACCGAGATTCGTTACGGAACTCAGGGTAAATATTTTTTTGAAATTTATTTCAAATTATTTCAAATATTTTCAATCAATAATCTCTTTGTATAGTTAATTTTAAATTTATAGTATTCAATAGTGTAATAAATTTTAAATTCTTGAAATTCTTGAATATAATTAAAAAAATATTCTAAATAATAATTTCAAATTTTTCATATCTGCTAAATTTTCTTTATTACAATACAATTCGTAATATTTCGAACTCACAAATGTTCAATGCTCAATGTAGTTCTTAAAATTTTCTTTTTATATAATCAAAACACGATCTCGCGCATTTAACGCATATTTTCAACTCCAAAATACTTTATCCAGGGTACTACCGAGGTCTACGAAGGGCAAACAGCTCACTTCGAATGTCAAGTTGAGCCTCTTCACGACGCCAACTTGAGGATCGAGTTCTTCCACAACGGCAAGCCACTTCCATCAGCTTCCAGGTTCCACGTCACGTTCGATTTCGGATATGTGGCTTTGGATATCGGCCATGCTGTTCCCGAAGACGCAGGAGAATACTCCGTACGAGCGATCAATGCTCTAGGTCAATGCGTATCCTCGATCGAGCTGAGGGTAATCCCACGGGACAACATTATTCTCGATTCGCAACGTCCTGAAGGAATGGACAAGATCCGCGAATTGGAAGCTCAGCAACCTTGGAAGAGACCGGAAGTGCCAGAACCGCAAACCAGGCAAAGACCTGTGTTCACTCAACCATTGCAGAACATCGATGCCATTCCCGAAGGACATACAGCTCATTTCGAGTGCAGGTTGATTCCTGTTGGAGATCCCACGTTGAAGGTTGAATGGTTCAGAAATGAAATCCCTCTCGAGACAAGTAAGTCGAGTTCTTTCATTTTTTTAATTTAAAAATTCGAAAATTGAAATTGAAAATTAAGTTAAGTTTAAGAATTTATTGGGGTTAGAATTAGAAAATTACGAAGCATATAAAAATTTGGATATATGTGTTTATTTGAGAATTCAAAGATTAAATTTGTAAAATTAAAATTAAATATGAAAATTTATATGAACATTTATTTCTTCAGGTTCACGAATAACCAAAGTTCACGATTTCGGATACGTGTCGTTGGATATCACTCATGTCAGAGAGGAAGATGAAGGTGTCTACATGTGTCGTGCTACCAATCCACTTGGTGAAGCAGTTACAACTGCTTCGATGAAGATCAGAAGTCAGTATTTAATTTTACATTTATCAATATATATCTTCAACTAAATCTAGCATCTATATTAATTTCTATTCTCGATTTCTCGTATTTAGGTAAAGCAAGTATTCAGTTAGACACCCAACATCCCGAAGCCCAACGGAAGATCGCCCAACTTGAAGCCGATAAAGGACCGAGTCGCACTGAAGAGCCAGAAAAAGTATTCGACAAACCCATCTTTACGCAATTATTGACTGGACCCACAGAATTGTGGGAAGGTCAAACGGCTAGATACGAATGCAGAGTCGTTCCAGTTGGTGATGCCAGTTTAAGATTCGAATGGTACATAAATGGAGTCGAATTAAAAATGGGTAAGGACTTTACTCATAACGATGAAAACGAATTAAATAATCTATTAAAGTACCCCAAAAGGTATAGCTATTATACAAATATCCTGCATTTTTTGATGATATTCTATCGAGTTCATCTACTTAAAACTTTCAGTATTTTATTTTTTTTTAACTCTATTTAATTTAATCAATTTTGTAAAAAGACCCAAAATATTTAATAAACCTAGATAAAACTTAAATATTCTTCAATAGGATCTCGGTTCCATGTAAGCCACGATTTCGGCTACGTGACTTTGGATATCCTGAAAGTAATCACGGAGGATTCAGGTGTGTACACCTGCAAAGCGATCAACAAAGCCGGCGAAGCAGTTTCCTCGATATCTTTGAAGGTCAAAGCGCGCTCGGCCATCGATGCTGAAAGTTTGCAACCGGATGCGTGGCAAAAGATCCAATTGAAAGAGGCAGAGATGAACAAAGTGCCAGAAATGTTCGTAGACACGACGCCTCAACAAGCGCCAGTGTTCACCAAACACTTGGAGAGCTACGACAAACTTGTGGAAGGTCAACACGTGTATTTAGAAGCTCAGGTAGAACCAAGAGCAGATCCGAATCTGCGCGTGGAATGGTTCAAGAACGGAATTGCTCTTCAAACTGGAACCAGACTTCGCAGTACCTTCGATTTTGGCCTCGTCACGTTGTCCATCAATGGCCTCAGATCCGACGATTCCGCCATTTACACTTGCAAAGCCACCAATCTCCTCGGGGAAGCTGTGTCCACCTGCAGCCTGAAGATCGTCGATCGCCACTGGTTGCTCGGTGATACTCTTCATCCTGACGCACTTCCAAAGATCGATGCTCTGGAACAACCTCACGTCACCACAGCAGAGCAACCAGAACCGATATACGAAGTTCCAGTCTTCATCACTCATTTAAACAATGTCGAATGCGTGGAAGGTGACAATGCGCACTTCGAGTGCAACGTGGAACCGTCCAAAGATCCAACGATGAAGATCGAGTGGTTCATCAATGGAAAACCGCTTCCAACTGGAGCAAGATTCAAGTCGACTTACGATTTTGGCTACGTTGCTTTGGATCTTACCCATGCTTACGAGGAGGATTCAGGAGTGGTGATTGTTAAGGCAACGAATTCGAAGGGATCAGCCCAGACGTCAGGCACCCTGAAATGTACCAGCAAGCAGAGCATCTATCTGCAAACTCAGCATCCCCAAGGAGAGGCTGGATTGGAGAAAGTGAAGGAAGTGGAGGACGCTTATCTGTCCAAATTGAAGAGACCAGATGCTGGACCGGAACAAGAATATCCGAAACCTGTATGGACAGTACCTCTGCAGCCAGAGTTCAAGCTGGGTGAATCTGAACCTCTTCATCTGGAAGGTCAAGTTGAACCCAAGGATGATCCAAATTTGAAAATCGAATGGTACTTCAATGGAAAGGCTCTGGAGCATGGGTCCAGGTTCAAGATGACCAGCGACTTTGGTTTCGTCACTTTGGATCTGACCGACGTGTATGACCGTGACTCTGGAATTTACACTTGCAAGGCCTACAACAAGGCAGGAGAAGCCTTCACTTCGACCACGATCTATTGCTCGACTAAGGAGAACATCATCGAGAAATCTCAACATCCAAAGGGTAAGGAAGGTCTCGAAGCGATTCAAGATCTGGAAGAATCGTTGAAACGACAGGAAGGAGCTCCACCGGAGAGCGAAGAAGGTCATCCACCTGTGTTCACGTCTCAGTTCGAGAACCTGACCAACTTATCTGAAGGGGAGATAGCTCACTTCGAGGCATCTCTTACGCCAACTGGTGACCAAACAATGGTAGTCGAGTGGTTCTACAATGGAAAATCGTTAGAGGCCAGTCATCGCACGAGAACGGTCTACGCCTTTGGCATGGTCGTTCTTGAAGTTCTTGGAACTAAGATAGAAGACTCTGGCACTTACTCCTGCAGGGCTACCAACAAATGGGGCGTGGCTGAAATCAGTGTGCAATTGGAATGCGTGGACAAGTCTAAAGGACAGAAACCAAAGTTCACCACCCATATCCAGTCTCTGGAGGGTCTGAAGGATGGCCAATCAGCGCATTTCGAGTGTACTCTGATTCCAGTCGGAGATCCTCACATGAAAGTCGAATGGTTCCACAATGGACAACCTCTGAGACACTCGTCCAGATTCAAGATGGTATCCGATTTTGGATTCGTCGTGATGGATATTGCTGGTGTGATGGCTCACGACACTGGAGAGTACGTTTGCAAGGCAAGCAACAAATTCGGCGAAGATTACACCAAAGCCACGTTGAAATGCTTTGGAAAGAGCGGGGTATACCTCGACTCGTTGCAACCCGATTCCCTGGCTAGAATCAGGGAGTTGGAGAGTTATGGTGGTGAACAACCTACCACGCCAACGACACCAGTGGCAGAGCCGCCCAAATTCATCACGCAAATCTCAGATATCACGAAACTGATTGAAGGACAATCCGCTCACTTCGAGGCTAGACTTACACCCGTCAATGATCCAGACTTGAAAGTCGAATGGTACTACAATGGAAAGAAACTGCCTCATGGACATAGATATAGAACCTTCCACGATTTTGGTATCGTTATCTTGGATATATTGTATTGTTACGAGGAAAATTCTGGAGTTTATGAGTGCAGAGCTTTCAACAAGTACGGCGAGGACACGACTAAAGCGACCTTAAAATGTTACTCCAAGTCGAGTCTCATTTTGGAATCTCAACTTCCTAAGGGAATGGAGGGTGGATTGGAGAAGATCCAGACTTTGGAGGACTCGATGATTCGTACAAGAGACGAAAAGATCGTCGAAGAAAGAGGAAAAGCTCCTGTCTTTACCGTGCCCTTGAGCAACATCGATGGCCTTCGCGAGGGGGAGAGCGCGCACTTTGAAGCTAGACTTACACCCACTGACGATCCAAAACTAAAGGTAATTGCATTAATTCATTGTTTATTATATAATTTTAATATAGAATGGCAAATGTAGAAAATTTTTTAAAATTTTACATTCCAATATTCATCACAGAATTTTTATTAACAAAGTCAACATGTTCCAACATAATTCGATTTAAGATAATCGCTTCCAAGCATCTTCGAACAAAGAAAGAAAATAAATTATAAATTATAAAACTATTCATAGGTCGAATGGTTCTGGAACGGTAAACCACTGCGAACAGGCACTCGTTTCCGCACCTTCTGCGATTTCGGCTTCGTGATTCTCGAGATCTCACCGATCTATCCAGAAGACTCTGGCGAATACAGTTGTCGAGCAACGAACGACTACGGCGAAGCAGTGACCACCTGTATCATGAAATGCACAGGGAAACGAAGTATCATCCTCGAGTCTCAACTGCCAAAGGGAATGGAAGGCACCATTGACAAGATAGCCGAGCTGGAAGGTCTTGGAAACGAGCCAGGCGAAGTGATCCCGGACGATGATACGGGGAAACCACCGGAATTCATCACAACTCCGTCCGACTTAACCCTAACCGAGAATTCCTTGGCGCATTTCGAGTGCAGATTGACACCCATCAACGACTCCAGCATGAGAGTGGAATGGTTCCACAATGGAAAGCCTCTTTTGGCTGGAACCAGGATTAAGACCATCCACGACTTTGGCTTCGTTATCCTGGAGGTGGCCAATTGTTACCAACGCGACTCAGGCCTGTACACGTGCAAAGCGACCAACCGCCATGGCGAAGCAACGGTCTCGTGCAAACTTCAAGTCCGTGGACGACAAGGAATCATCTTGGAACCTCAGCTGCCTACCAATTTCAAGACCGGAACGGAGAGTATCCAGAAATTGGAGGAGGCTTTGTACAAGAAGGATGAGATATTAACCGAAGAAGAGACGCCCAATCCTCCCAAATTCACCGTCGAGTTGAAGGATATCGAGGTGGAGGAAGGCGCGCCCAGTCATTTCGATTGCAGAGTCGAACCTGTCGGCGACTCTACGATGCGCATCGATTGGTTCCACAATGGAAGATCGTTCGCCACTGGATCTCGCGTGCACCAGATAAACGACTTTGGTTTTATCTCGTTGGATATGTCGTATACCTATGCCAGAGATAGTGGCGAGTATGTTTGCAGAGCTACCAATAAGTGGGGTTCTGCTACTACCAAGGCTACCATAACTTGTAAATGTAAGTAGAGTTATTAGTAGTTACTTATTTTCTAGATTTTTTTTTTAAATTAATATCTCTAGATATTAAAAGTATTCGAAATTTCGTCAGTTTCCAATCTTAAAATAATTTATCAAATAATATATCAATTTTCAAACATTTCAGCTAAGAAAACCATAGATTTCGACTCACAGCTGCCTTCAGGCATGAGTGGCGAGAAATTGAAGGAACTAGAACGTGGTCCAGTCAGCGAACCACCGCCTGCTGAAGAGCCACCACGTCAACCACCGAAATTTATCACGCATATACAATCAGCAACAGTGGACGAATCGGAAGCGGTCAGATTCGAGTGTCGCGTGGAACCGAAGGACGATCCGAATCTCCGTATCGAATGGTACAGAAATGGAAAATTGATCCCGGCTGGACACAGATACAGAACGATGTACGATATGGGATTCGTGTCTATGGATATTTTGTATGTCTACCCTGAAGACTCGGGAGAATACGTGTGCAAAGCTATAAATGATCTCGGAGAAGACACTACTAGAGCATCGGTATCATGCAAAAGTAAGTTTCTTGATTTTATCTTTTGAAAAATTTAAAATTGTTTATATATTATGTATATCTTTTGTAAATTTTAATAATATTTTATAAAGTTTTCTTATTATTTTTTTCATCAAGTTAAAAGTTTTATCAAATAAATTATTTCATAATCTTTACAAGTTTGCTACTAACTTTTCAAAAAGTATAATTACTTTTTGATAATTCTTATTTCAATAATACGAAAATAAAATTTTTATCAAAAATCTTATCTAATAGAAAAATTGCCAATTCTTTTATTTACAGAGTTGCCCAACATCATTCTACAGAACCAAGTGCCAAAGGGTATGAAGAAGTCGGAAGCGTTGATGCAGATGGAAGCTACCATCAAGAAGTACACCTCGGAAGTCCACCTTACAGAGGACGATCTCTACGACGCGGACAAGAAACAACCGCCTCGTTTCGTCACCCAGATCCAAGATCAAACCGAGCTGGTCGAGATGAACAGCACGAAATTCGAATGTCAATTGGCGCCAGTCGGCGATCCAAACATGAAAGTCGAATGGTTCTTCAATGGCAAACCTCTACCGCACAAGAACAGATTCACTCCTATTTACGATTTTGGTTACGTGGCCATGAACTTTGGCTGGGTCTATCCTGAAGACAGCGGCGAATACCTTTGCAGAGCCACGAATCTTTATGGAATGGACGAGACACGGGCTGTGATTCGAACGGCTGGCAAGCCTGGAATTATTTACGAGTCCCAATTACCGAAAGGCATGAAGAGTATCGAAAAGATCAGAGAAATGGAAGCTGCATGGCAAATGTAATAAACATTTTTATTTTTATTAATCAATATTTCCCTTTTTCAAGAAACGTGTAGAATAGTTTTAAATATAGTTATAATATGACATTGAATAATTACCTTATGCGTGAATATTCTGCACAGAGTACCTGAGGAAGAAGGTGAAGAAGAGAAGGTGAGAGCGCCTCCAACATTCGTGAGCAAACCAGAACCAGTGACCGTCGAAGAGGGCGATTGGTCCAGATTCTGCTGTCGTGTCACTGGTCACCCAAGACCTCGTGTCATGTGGATTATCAATGGACACACCGTGGTCAACGTGAGCATCAATATTTTTATATTCTCGAATAAAGGAAAAAAATTATTTAATTTCGTTGAATTCTTCATTAAAAGTTAAAATCCCCCACAAAATTCTACGATTAAAATTAAATTACGATTATAATAATATATTAAATTTTTCTAATTCACGAATTCCCTTTATTTTGTAAATTTTCACAGGGATCGCGTTATAAACTGACTTACGACGGCATGTACCACCTGGACATCCCGAAAACGAGGCAATACGATCACGGAAAAGTGGAGGTGATCGCGAGAAGCTCGGTAGGCGAGGCACGCACCGAAACCACATTGACAGTGAAACCACGAAGCGACGATTATCGTGGCGTGTTGAAGAACTCGCCAAGACGTAAGTTGCCTATCCCGAAACATATATCCCAATACATGAACATGTCGTCGCATTCTTTGCGTCTCATCATTTATACCTCACTGAAACATAATATTCTATTCTGTTTATGAACTTCTGAACACATGATTATCATAATACAATAATCAATTATTCGAACAAATAAATTGATCGATCGATCCACCACCTCGCAAAGAATGCACGCACATAGAACAGAGAACAATGTTAGATATATTTCGTCGATATATCGAACATAGGCACTATATATAATACTACACGAAAAAAAAAATATATATATAAAATAATATTAAAATTAAATAGAATAGTATAGTATTACGTATATAGTATGCAATCGAAAGATATTATATAAACGACAACCGCAACACAGTACCTACATGAGATATCGATACGACACATACATTTCCATTCGAGTACAATAATAACACTCGAACATATACCTTACCCATGTATTGTCCCTTTCCTCCTTCTTCCGCCAAAAAAAAAAAGAAGAAAATGTTACGAAAGGATTCGAAAGATCGTCCTCGGGCGACACAAGCAGCTTCTTCTTCTTCTTCTTCTTCTTCTTCTTCTTCTTCTTCTTCCTGTTCGTCTTTGGGGTTCGGAATTTCTACGGGCATATTCGAGCAATGTCGGCTAAAAGGTATCTTCGTTTCGGCGTTTTCAGGTATGAGAAACATAAATCAAAGAGAAACCAAGTCGTTATTATAGATTATTTTGTTATATACTTTTGTATATATATAAATATATACACACTGTATGTGTATACACACATATGTATTGTCATTGTCTTTCATTTTCTTGTTTTACCAAACATGAAATGAATTGTGCACGGAGAAAAATATTGATTATCGTTAATAGAAGTAACGGCGGATCATCGAATTTATTTTTATTTTTATATTAATTCGTACTTTTTTTTGCACGATATATTTTCCTCCGTGTGATCAATTTTTATTGCACTGGAGAAAACGGGTGTATTGCTCAACTATTATTTTTTCATATTTTGTATTTATCTATATATATATATAAAATCATTTCATTTAATCAATTTTATTTAATGTATTATTTATTATTCATTACATAACAACATTCATCTAATAGATTTCATTGTTATTAATTTTGTAAAATTAGTTGTGAGCAGGGTCCGTATTTCTCAGAGTGCTATTCAACATCGATGTAAATAATACTCGTCGTGGATTTATTTAAGAAACGTGTATATAAAATCCCTCGTTACCCATTTCCCTTAAAACGATATTTTCAAACAGCAGAGATTCAGTGTTTCATAAAAAAGAAAAAGTATCGTCTTTATTTCGTCGTAATTTATTAAAATTTTGCAATTCAGAAATAACTACTTACTGGATCTCTCTGTATGTGTCAATGAGAAATGTTCAGTTGATTGTTCGATGTGATTCCAACGAGATTGGAACCGTGGTTCCACGTGATCTAACTTGAATCATCCGGATGTCCACCTCTGTCTCCGGTTGCCTGGTTTCCGGGCGTCCTGTCCCTCTCGCGCAGCTGGCGTCGTTATGTGTTGCATCGCCAATGAAGTACTGTGTCGTAATTCCCCGTGATTTTTTTCTGTCTTCTCTAAAATATAGCGTTCCTCCTCGATTCCACTTTGTCTCTTATTATCATCTCGATAAATTTGATAAATAATAATTTAGCTATAATCTAATCTTTATTTATTATTTTCATGTAAATCCTTTGTTTCATTCATCTCGTTATTTTTTTAATAATTAACGAAAAATTCGGAATTATACAACATTCAACACTTTTTTAAAAAAATTTTGCTGATATTCGAATGAACTGAAATATTCTAAGATACTTTAAGGGTAAAGTTTCTTTAAAATACGACTGTATATATTATTGTTTCTTGCTCAATTATTTATTTGTAGTGATATAAAAATTCAAAGTGATCGAGGAAGCGCTATATTTTCGGTCGAAAAATTGAATGTTTCCGAAGTTCGTCTGGCATGCGTTGTGACGTGTAAATTCGAGAAACATGGAGGTCTAACGTGTATTTTCCCTAGCTTGGTATGATTACGGGCTGACCCAATACCAAACGGAGCGACAGAACACAGAGCTCGAAAGAGTTTTCGACGAGAGGCACCACAATATCTCTCAGGGCATCGAGATCGCCACCGAACACCTTGGACAGAAGGTCTACAAAGAACCAGAGACAGAGTGGCAAAAGTCTGTGAAGAGTAAGAAGAACGAGGACTATTACAACAAGCTGATGACCCTCGAGGAGGAACAGGTCTTAAAGGAGAGTAGATTGAGAGAATCCAGCCACCAGTTTGCCATTCCCGGCGAAAAAGTTGTCGCCCATTCTGTGGCGAAGGGAATGGCCCAACAATACGAGGAGACGCTGTAAGTAATACTTTCCATTTCCATTTTCCTTTAATTTTATATACTTTTATATTCATATTCATATTTACAAGATCACAAAAAGTATATATAAATATATATTGTTATTTATTTGTTATAACATACTTTATATCTCGTTCTTGACAATACAATTGTGTTACATATTAATGAATGGACACATTATATTTGATATTTGCACTTATACTTTTCTATGAATATTTATATGTATCACAAGTTACATTTATTAACGTTATACGCACATTTTATATTTTCTAATTCAATTTACGAAGCCATCATTCAAAAATAAATAAATAAACGAGTGGAAAAATTTCCAGGGAAGACAAGAAGGACGAGAAAATTCAGGAAACACAGCAGACAACCACGACGAAATTCGTGAAGAAGCCACACACGACGGAAGTGGACATCGATATGGAGCGCGTGAAAGGAAGGTATCCTCCAGAGCCGTCGGAATCCACGGTGCACGGGCGCGAGGTGCACGTAGCCAAGCAAAAGCAGATCCAGAAAGAGGTCAAAGGCGACCTGGAAATCACCAGGAAGATAACTGCCACGGAAACGACCGAGGTGGAGCACAAAGCGAAAACTCAGGAGCGCATCGTTCAAGGTCCAACGAAACCGGCCAAACCTCCTGTGTTCACGAAGAAGATTCAACCTTGCAGAGCGTTCGAGCAGGAGCAGGCACGATTCGAGGTCGAATTCGACGGCGATCCATTGCCGACCATCAAATGGTACCGCGAGGATTTCCCTATACAGAATTCTCCGGATCTTCAGATCTACACGTTCAGCACGAAATCGGTGTTGATCATTCGCCAAGTTTTCATGGAGGATTCCGGTGTGTTCTCCGTGATCGCTGAGAATCGCGGCGGGAAGGCGAAATGCAGTGCAAATTTGGTGGTCGAGGAGCGTAGAAGGCAACCGGGTAGAGGTGGAGTGGTGCCACCTAGCTTCCTGTCCACCATTCAAAGCACTTCGGTCACCACTGGCCAACTGGCTAGATTTGACGCCAAAGTGACCGGAACTAAGCCTTTGGATGTTTATTGGTTGAAGGTAATGGGTGTTTCTTCTTCTTCTTTTTGATTTAATATAATGGGATGATTATTAATTATGATCTGAAAGAATAAAGAATATTGAAGGAAGCTAACCTTTCGTTACAATAATACGATAATCGTATTGGTGAATAATGAGAAGAATTGCAAATTATAGACTTCTACATAAACGAGTTTTTACAATTTTACTTTACAAATAATTCTTCTTTTTATAGTACTATTTAAATAAGAAATTTATACAAAGATACATACAACACATTTTTATATTATTACATATCATCAATGTAGAAATATTTCAATTGAATTTATTTAGAACCAGTTGTTTCTAAATTGTTCCAAAACCAATTCTAGATAATTATTAAATTGATTTATATCGTTTCTAATTTATTTTTCATAATTACAGAACGGCAAAAAAGTGATTGCAGACATTCGTTACAAGACGCTCGAAGAGGACAACATCTACACCCTGTTGATTCTGGAAACTATACCAGAAGATTCGGGCAAATACGAATGCGTCGCGATAAACAGCGCTGGAGAGGCGCGTTGCGACGCCGAGTGCACGGTCCGTGGCCCTCAATCTCCCGCCAAAACCGCGAAACCAACGACACCTGGCGTCGAGAAGGCGCCGCAAGTGTTGGAGCCGTTGAAAGATCAAACTATCAGAGAGGGTACATCCGTTGCGTTCGCGTGTAGGATCACTGGGAAACCAGTACCCACGGTGCAATGGAAGAAAGGCGACAAGGTATTTGTGATAAAATAATACGATTGGGTTAAAAGATCCAGATTTACCCGTAAAACTAAAATTTATTTGTCGTTCCAGGTTATCAAACCATCTAAATATTTCCAAATGCAGAAGGATGGCGACCTCTGCACCCTGAGGATCTCTGAGGCATTTCCCGAAGATGAGGGAGTTTACAAGTGCATTGCCAAGAATCCAGCCGGTGATGTCACCACTTCAGCAAACCTCAGAGTTCTTGGTAAGATGCAGTCTCATTCACCAATGCAAAAATTTCAATAACATTCTAACCTCTTTGGCTATATCCTGAATAATTTGAAAATATGAAATTAAATAAATTTGACTTGTAAAACCATGAAATTTTTCAACTATCTAATTTTCTTCAAAGTTATAGCGGTTTAAAATTTTGCTAATTTAAATAATAATAATAAGATTTAAGATAAATGATTAGAAATTATCTTTTCTTTATACGATGATATATCAGGAATCGAAAGTCGTATTTGGATAAGTGAAAATGTGTAAAAAGAGCAAGGTTTCACGCTTTCAATGATTTTTCATTGATAATTTTTTTTGTTTAAAGAATTATCTTTTAAATTTTTAGACACTTTCAGGCATACTATAACATGCAAAATCCTAAGTCTAATAATCGTTGTAAATTAGATATTTATTTATTATATATTAAATAATGATTATCTTGCTTTAGCCCCCGATGCAGCTGATGTTCTCCCCAAATTGTCACCACTGAAAGATCAAATAGTGTTTGAAGGACAACCGGCACAGTTCAAGACTCAAGTTACTCCAGCTAAACCAAAGCCAACGATCCAATGGTATCGCGAAGGTGCCCTAATTCCTCAGTCACCTGATTTCCAGGTGAGTTATCTTCCAAGATCGAATTAATTCTTCCAAACAATGGGATATTAAATATTCATAATTAAATTTGAATATAGAATCAATAAAATATTTCAATGTACATTCTCTTCTAATTTCGATTCAATTTCGAACTTCACGATAAATCGAAATTTTCCAGATGATTCACGAAGGCAATAACGCCGTATTGCTGATAGCAACCACGTACGAAGAAGACACTGGCACCTTCACCTGCCGGGCTACCACTTCAGCCGGCACCGTAGAAACCTCCGCCAAACTCATCGTAAAAAGTAAGAATTGAATAAAAGATACAAATTCAATTGCTAACACGAGACGCGATTGAATCTACGGGATATGCCTCTAGAGTGTTACGGAGGAACACGTACAAACGTGAAACGATTTCTCTTCCATGTTCTAAATGAAAAAAGAAGAGAAAGGAAGAAAATAAAAAAATTCAAAAGTTACTAACAATAACGACAGTCTGATGATTAATATAATGATTAATTTCAAAAGATTCAATTTAATTCACTTAATTATTATGTCAAAATCTGGATATTTATTAATAGTTTTTTCATTTAAAATCAATTTTTTATCTTCTCATTTAAATTTTAATTTTTTAAATTTTATTATCAAAGAATTACTGAAATCAAAAATTGAATAATTATGCGTATTGATAATAATTGAATCACTCAACAAATATATATATATATATGTTAAAAATAATTAACTTTGTGACTTAATTGGAATAAATCGTTTCAAAAGTCACGTGTTCCTTCGTCGATTATGGTTCATCGAGGACACCCGTGCGTATTTTTATTTTTTTTTTCGCTTTTTTGTTGTTTTTCTCTACAAAAGAAAAAAAAATGAAGAAACCTAACCCACCAAGCGAATCGTTACCAATGTTCAACCCTTTGTTCCCCGCTCTCGACCCTTTTTTAATCAAAGTCACGAGCGAGCCCGGGGAGTTTTATACTAACTCGTCGTGTTTTTTTTTTTGTTCTTTTTGTTTTTCAAAGAGAAAAAAAAACATAATAAAAAGTAAAATAGAAAAAAAAAGTACACAAAAAATAGTAGACGAGCGAGTGAAACGAGGAAAGTGATACATGTTTTTGCAGAGAGGCAAAAATTTTTGTCTCGAGTGTACGTGTTGTTTCACAGAAGAAAGAAAAAGAAGATAGATAATTATAGAGAAGTATAGATATAATTATAATCGGTAAACGTACGTAAAAGGGAAAGAGTTATTAAATGCAACAAATTTAAAATTTAAGATTAAAAGTGAGAAATATCGCGGAGGTGGTGCTGAAAATGAGATCGGTTTTAATCTTGAAAAAAACGGTGAAATGTTTTGTAGAATTGAACTCGTTTAAGGTGGAAAACGAAAAAAATCGAAGCGTGTCGAGATTCGACCTGTAAGACGAGCGTAGCCGATTTTCCATCCGACAAGGTGCGATTTACGAGAGCGAGACACACGAGACTACGAGCGTCTTTTCGAATGGTCGAATTCGATTCCTTTTTTTTTGATTTTGATATTCGATGAGGTGGTGCTTTGGACAAGAATCGTTTGAGAATTTTGAGAACGAATCGCTGCGAATTCTCCTCTTTTGCTCCGCTTTATGTATATAAATCTCGATGGCGGGAATTTCGAACAATATCGAACAATGGAATCGAGATAAGTTGTGGTGGAGAAAATATGGATGAAAAGAGAAATTCGGATTTTTTGGAAACGGTACAACGAACACGTAACTCGTTTTCTCGTTCGATTTAGCGTCGATGTTCATTATTGAAAAAAGAAAAAAAAAAAGGAAAAAACATGATAAAATATATATATCGTAAAAAAAAATATATATATATATAATATATAAGTGTATACATTATTCACACGATGCATTAAATATATTATTATATTAGGAATGATTTGTTAGTTAGTTCTACACTGACGTGATGATGAATTTTATTTAGTTACACAGCCTACACGCAAATAATTTCTCCTTTAACGTTTTACTAATCGATTATTTATTATTGTACAATGGAAAGGCCAATAAAAACCAATGTTTTAAATACGCACAAGCCTCGTTTGTTGCCGATTCGATACGATCTAGCATTGCATACATCATATGCATTAGGATTGATTAAGGGTCTACTGAAATGTTTATTATTGATGGCATCTCGAAATTCATAGTTACGTATCCATATATACGTGAGTGAAAATTTGAAATGTTAAACGCAAAAATTAAAATGAAACAAAAAATTAGATTATAAAATTTCTCTAAATATCAAATTTAAAATATACAATTAAAAAAGAATATCATAAAATGTTAATTTTAAGAAGACTGAGGATAAAGAAATGTTCTACGAAATATTTTAAATATTCGAAATAAAAAAAAAAGATGACGAAATGGATTTGAAAAGAATTCGCCACGAGAGACGTTAATACTTTAAAAATTACGAAATCAGTTAACGCAGTTGAATTCAAAGAAATTTTTCCTGAAACACATTAAATACCTGGAAAATTGCCCTGAAAATAGAAAAATCATCGTATAAAAGAATTTTCCACGAGGTTAAATATCCCCAAAGTAATCCCAAACAAATATAAAACCAAAGGAATTTCCTATGCAACATTCTAAACTAAAGAAATCTATCAAATTGATTAAATTCACACCAAAAATTATATTAAAAGAAATCGATAAATGGTATAATATGTAGTATGATATCAAAATTAAATAAAAAGAAAAAAAAAAAGAAAAATCAGGAAAATAATCACAAAACCCTGAATCGAAAGAAAGCCTTTCTCCCGCATAAAAGATTATCGTCTCGGAATGTACGAATGTGCCAGGCTGCGGACAAATATAGGAGCAGCGAATGTAAATTGACTTTTGCACTCCGCGACGTAATTGCCAGCCACGTTTCCAAGCGTCATAAATTCGTCCGCGTTTTGCTTACGAAATGCGTACCCGGGAAACACACCGGGGTACACACGGGATGAATCACGGCTCGTAAACCGGCTCACCACCTTGAAAATAATCGCGAAACTTTCGTAACGGGGTGGGTGAATCGTTGGATGGAAATCGAGGTGGATAGAAATAGAAACGGGCCGTTCTTAATCAGCGTGACGATCGATCGGACAATGAGTCGCGAGGATTGTTAACGAGCGATCCCCACGGTGCAACACTTGGCAGATTTATACAACGGCTAAAATAAGGGGAGAGAAGATGCCCAAGTGTTGCTACTTTGCTTTGAAAACCGAGTCCAGATGCAGGGCTATATTTGACATCGAAAAACGAAAGCAAAATCCGTTGAGTTTCGTTCGAGAAACGCGCGAAGTTTAGGAGTTTAGGCCGGTTCGGGAGGCTCTTGGAACGTTCAAGTTGTTTCACAGTAGTTGGCCGTGTATATTAAGACGATGTTACGGGGTAGTATATAACACCTTTCACCGATTCGTTTCTATTTGAGGCGGGAATTTTTGAAAGGAGAATATTAGCAATTGGACGAAAAATATTCGTGGGTGGATAATAATAGTGGATTAAAGATAAATTAGGAATTTGATAAAAAATGTTTGGCACATAATAATTGAATAATTGAAATCTTATTGGTTCGCATCTATTTTAGGCGGGAAATTTGAAAAGAGAAAATTAAAAATTTGATGAAAAATAGCCATATCAATGGCTAATGGATAATAATAATCGAGTAATTAAAATTGTATATTAACATTGAATTTAACAAATTTTCTCGATATTTTTTTTTAAATAAAATAACGATCAATATCTTTTTCTTTATATAAAAATAAAATATATCCAGTAAATTCTCTAATTCTTTATCAAATACGTTTTATAAAATTAAATAAAAGATAATTTCAATTACGTATATTTCACCTATCTAACCCAATTTTTAATTACAAAGTAATAAATCTAATTTAATTTTAAAACTTTGTTTTTATAACGCCAATAATAAACATCTTCGATTTTTTTTCTTTCAATTTTCGTTAAGATAACGAATAATAAGTTATTAGTAAATAAGTATTCATAATTCGATGTAAAATATACCAATTTTTAAATTAATCAAATAAGACAACGAAAGTTTCACAAATTTTCACAAGAATTCTTAAACGATTAAGAAGATCCACTTATTCCAAATTCCATTGTTTCTATCTCAATGTTTTCCCATTATACTATAATAAAATAATTTAAAGAAAGAAAAAAAGTGTATTCTCCTTAAAGAACTATATATCATAGAAAGAAAGAAAAATCTTTTCTTCGCATAATTTTCATTTTTCTATTCGAGATTCTGGCTGCCTCGAGATTCTATTCATGGCTGCCTCGATGGATTAAGAAAAAAAAAAAAATTTTCGTTTCGTCTCCCTCGTTATATGTCGCTCGTTGACGCGAGGGATTTCCACCGGCATATACCGCTTATATACTCGTCTTTTACGATCCACGTTTCTGTCTGTACCCGGTATCACCTTTCTCTCTGGTAACTGGTTTAACGAGCGTGAAGAGGTAAACGTATTTTCCTCATCGCTTCTGGTAGTCCGCCTCGTTTCAAAACGGAGGGACGGCGGAGGGTGCACCAGTGCCGTGTGCACACTCGGCTAGGCCCTCTTCTTAGGCTATTTCTGACCACGTGACGTGTATAACATTACCCGGCTATATTTGGTCGCCGATGAAGAACTCGGCGAACATACGGCAAAATTCACGTGGGGTCTAGAATCTTCTTGCTTCGATATCGTGCACACGAGTCGTGCACGATACCACTTTTCGATATTTTGCTCGAGAGACGATTCGATTGGATGGATTCTTCGTCTCGTATCATCGAGTGTGATGCGACACGGTCCAATGAATTATTTTATTGCATATTGTCATTCGAAATATAAAGGATACCAGTTGTGAGAAGGATTTCAATTTTCTTCTGTGATTGAAATATGAATTATTTAAATGATAGGATGCAGTGCAATTTATAATTTTGTTCTGTATTGTCACTGTGAATCCGTATTTAAATAGATAATGCCACACGATGATGTATGAGAAAGAGTCGAATTTCTTCTGCGATAGAAATAAATATAATTGGACGATGTCTTGCAATTATTTTAAATGATTTTATTTCGTACCATTATTAAGATAGATATTATTGTAATAGCAGAGAATTGCAACACATTTTTCTCGAAGATTAATTTAATTAGATTTTGTTATTTTGATTTGAAAAATTGAGAAATTTTACGAATTGATTTAATTTCTGATATTTAATAAATAAAATTGCATTATGTCGCAAAATTTTCTGTGATACTCAATGACGACAT